GGGTCAGTGGACAGCTACCGGGGTCAGTGGACAGCCACCAGAGTCAATGGACAGCCACCAGGGTCAATGTTCAGTTATCAGGGTCAGTCATGACTGCTACCAGGTTCAGTACACAGCCACCAGGGCCAATGTTCAGTTACCAGGGTCAGTGGACAGGTGCCAGGGTCCCTGACCACTGTACAACTACCAGATTCAGCGTACAACTACCAGGTTCAGTGGACAACTGCCAGCGTCAAAGTACAGACACGAGAGTCAGTAGACAGCTACGACTATATTGGGTGAGGGCTCAGGGTGGCATTTCGGAGAGTGGCATGATAGATGAATCATGACCCTCCGCTCTCATCACAAAACATCTGTTGACCTTTTATTTTTAGGAATTACAAAGCCTGACAGTTTGGAGAACTGTCGATAGGCCCTCGGGAAGGCCCGTGAGCTACTCTGTACATTGTGTTATAAATCGGACCCGGGTATGCCGTACCTGCTTTTAGTAACCGCTGTCGCTGCGCGCAGGCGTGTGTCTGAAGCCGAGCGGCGAGGCGAGCGCCGGCTCGTCGCTGCGCTGGCTGGGCGCGCAGCTGCTGTTCGACTCGGCGTACGGCCTGCTGCGCTGGCTCGACTATCTGCGCTACCTGCTGGTCAGGTGAGCCTCCGTGGGGATGGCAGTGTTGTAATGTCCCGCTGTGAATGATAAGGTTCTGCTTTGACGAGGTATTTCTCATCGGAATGGTCATTGTTTCGTCATGACTTGTCTGAGAACAAGTGACTGAGAACATTGTTGAAACATCTGGTCCCTTTGGTGTCAGTGTGCTCTGCCGCTCCGGCTGCTGTGTGACCGAGTTTCGGCTTTGCAGCTGGCTGCTGGCCGCACAGACGGCGCCTGTCTCGGCCCTGGACGAGTTCGGCTTCGAGATCCAGGCCGACAACCACTCGTGCACTCAGCGTCAGACGCGCACACAGCTGGTGGCAGCGCTGCGGCCCTACCAGGGCGAGACCAGCTGCCCCGAGGAGGGCGACTGCACGCGCCGCTTCAGGGTGGGTAGGCGTCTGTGTCTAGCGTTGACCTTTGTCAGCCCGCGGTCAGGCAGCGCTATTTGGTGCGAGGTTTGTCTTTGTCTCGCGGTGACGTCTGTCGGTAGCCCGCCGACAGGTGTGCCGTTGGTCGGTTGTCCTGACGTTCATCCCTCTGTTGCCGATGGTCAGGCGGCGCTGGTGGACGACACGAACCTGCTGCTGGTGGTGTCCGGTCTGCCGTGCGGCTGCCCGCCGCCGCCCGGACAGCGGCCCGCCTATGAGCCCGTGGAAGGTGAGAGTTTAGAGATGGAGGGAGGGGCCCCCGACAGGTGCGGCCCGCCTACGAGCCCGTGGAAGGTGAGAGTTTAGAGAGGGAGGGAGGGGGACTCCTCTACGGACAGCGGCCCGCCTACGAGCCCGTGGAAGGTGAGAGTTTAGAGAGGGAGGGGAGGGGTACCACACTCTACGGACAGCCGCCCGCCTACGAGCCCGTGGAAGGTGAGAGTTTAGAGAGGGAGGGAGAGGTACCACCCCTCTACGGACAGCGGCCCGCGCGGAGGGAGGCGTTTACGAGCCGTGGAAGGTGAGTATTTGAGGAGAAGGGGAGGGGCATCCCTCTACGGACAGCGGCCCGCCTACGAGCCCGCTGAAGGTGAGTATTTGAGGAGAAGGGGAGGGGTACCTCTCTACGGACAGCGGCCCGCCTACGAGCCCGCTGAAGGTGAGCACTGCAGTGGACGAGGGAGGACTGTGGGCGGCTCACAGGTCTGACCGGGGTCCGGGCAGTGTCACACAGCTCTCCCCCCGGCAGGTACCGACCCAGACCGCTGCACGCACAGTGTGTCTGACAGTGCTCCCCCCCCCCCCCAGACAGATACTGACCCAGACCGCTGTTATGTCTGACGGTGTGTCTGATACTGCCCCTCCCCCCTCGGCAGATATCGGCCCGGACCGCTGCGTCGAGAGCGTCAACCAGACGGCGCCGTTCCGAAAACGGCCCGACACCTGCTTCGCCACACACGAGAACGTGAGTATTCCGCGACCGCCTGCACTGTATATACTCATAGGTCAGCTGTCCGTGTGTTCCTCTGCTGCTGATCCGGGAAGGCTGACCTGCGGGCTGTGCGGCCGATGGGGGGGGGGGGGGGCTGCGATAGGTACACCGCTGCAGCGGTGTATCGACCAGCGCGCTGGTCGGGGACGTTGTGCTGTGACGCTAGCCAGGGAATCCGATTGTGCGGCTATTGGAGAGGTCGGGTCGGGCTGGTCTGAGAAACTGCTGGTGCTGGGGCTGCTTATGCTGCTGGTGGGGAGACCGCTGTTTGTCTCTGGCAGGGACCGGGACACTGTTCGACCCCTGACGGCGTGTCTGTGCCCGCGCAGGAGCAGCCGGCGTGTGGCGGCGCCGGCACGGCCGCCGGCCCGCTATCGCTGCCGCTGCTCTGCCTGGCGCTGGGGCTGGCGCTGCGGCCCGGGCCCGGCGGCCGCTGAGAGGACTCTGCAGTACGACAGACACAGCGGGCTGAGACACGGGCTGAGTGAGCTTAGGGGCCGGACCCGCGGGCAGCGCGCCAGGCCAACAGGCCTCAGTCGGAGCAGTGATTTATGGTCTGTCTTAGGCGACGACCAGCCGCAATCTGAGTCAGTGGTATCATAGCCTGACCGTGGCAACCACTAGCCTAGACTGCAGTGAGGGTTCGGACCGTAGCAGCTATAACTGGTCTGAGACTGAGCATGTATGTAGTCTGACCGTTGGTGACTGCCAGTCCGGACTGTGGTCTTTGGCGTGCGACTGCCAGTTTGGACTGGAGTCTGTGGCCTGTCCGTGGCGTCCACCAGTCCGGGCAGGAGTCTGTGGCCAGTGTTATTCTGCGCGGGTAGCTCTGGGGTGAAGTGTGTGGTCCCCGACCCAGCCTGGACCTGGGCCACAATATGCGCCGGTAGCTGTGGGACGGATTGGAGTGTTGGCTGGTGCGTGCCCTGACGCCTGCCGAGTCCTTACCGTCGGACCTGTGTTGAGTGTTTAACCCGGGTGATATTGCCGTATGCTCTATACTGTTTGCGTTTGTAGTGAATCACTGTGTGACTGACCCGTTTTATCGTCGCTGAGGTGGTTGGGGTGTTGGGACAAAATAGTCGTTTGTTCAGCCGCCACTGGCTAGTGAGGCCGGGATAGTGCTGACAGAAGTGGCCGCCAGCTCTGCCCGGTAACCGTGTGATACTGCGAGCCTCTGCGCGGGGAATAGTTCACTCGGGATCGAGTTTTATCAGGCAGCCAGCGAGAAGCAAAGCCGACAATCCACTTACTCATTCAAGGCAGCCTTTGTTACGGATTAATCTTATTACAATGACCGGACTTGGAGATATGGTTTTCATATTAACTTTACTTTAGCCTGGTGGGGCAAACATGATGCATATAAAATTAAGATAATTAACAGACTTTACGTTCCGCCTTAAAACCATTCCTTTAAATGTTACCGATTGGGTGATGCACTTGCAGTTTTCTTGTTTTGTTGAGCGGTCGTCTGCCCCCGGACGGGCCGAGCGTTCGGTCAGCAGGTGGACTGACCGAACGCGAATACTGTCTGCAGGCAATAGTGGCTCACTAACCAATCAGCCCCCACGTGTACTATGTACAGAACTACTGTCTTAGGGATGTTCATGGAATCTCTAGAAACTCAACTTAGCCTGCGAAACTCACAACTCACACGCTGCCATGATATCTAGTCAGGAGCCGGGGCTGCAGGTGAACTATTCCCTCCCAGGTGGCTTTCCTTCGTGTGCAATTGTGACTACTGCTGCCGGTGGCCGCTCCGCCGGCCGGTGTTGGACGGTTGTGGGCCGCCTGTGTGTGACAGAGGTGCCGCCCCTAGTCAGAGCGGGCCGTCCGCGTGTGACCCGGTCCCCGCCGCCAATACACGACCGCGCACACCCAGGGTGTTTTGGGGGACGCGCGCGCCGCCGGCCGGCGCTGTCTGGTGAGACGTGACGGGACGATATCCACAGCCACCAATCATGCAGGACTTACCTTTTCCGGTGGAAAGCGCCGTTATTCTTGACACGTCTCATCGAACATCTTTTACGTGTACGAGCGAATAATTTAGCTCCAGGTCAGTTTCAGCCAAATCGTTTGGCTGAAGTTAGGTACGTGACTGCGAGGGAATGCGACTGCGTTTGGCAGGTGCACGCTGCACAGACCTGTGGTCTGTGAATTTATAACTTTGAATAGTGGTAGATAGAGCTCTGAACTATCCGGGACAATGGTGACGGCAATTCAAAGTGGTCTGGCTTACCCAAAACTATACATTAGCTCGCATGGACGTGGGAATTCGCAGAGACATGTCTCCAATTCAATGTGACATGTCGGTGGCCGAAGTTTGGCTTGGCAATATGGTCTCCAGGTGGTAACAATTGCAAGACCTAATTGGTCTCTTAGTGGTGTTATAATTTTCAGAGACGAGACCAAAATCACTGTTCGACATTCTGCGTATTCTGCAAAATAGAAAAAGAAATCCGGGAGCGCTGAGAGCCTCACTCTGTTGAAAGCCACTGATCCAGACAGCGCAATGGGCGAGGTCAGCAGCCGCCAGTCGTTTGACGTCGGCTGATCTATGAATATCCCCTCCACTCGATACCCAACTTCACAGCATGGCGGGCGGAGTTTTGCGTGCTGGACGCCATTCGGAGGACAGCGTGGTAATTTATCAGACTTCTATCGATGTTACGTGACACGCTCACCACTCCCAATTCCTGCGGAGCTCTATACTCTATAGCGTTGGTTCCTGTATTCGGGTCTGACAGGGGTTCTGTTCAATGACAAACTGCTAACCTGCTGAGCTCTGCTAATCTGCGCGGTTCGTATGAGCTCTGACGCCGTAATGTATCAGCCGACCAAGCTCGCACGGAGCACTGGTTCGGACTCGTGCCTCGTTGGCTCTGCTCACCAACCATTTAGTTATATGTCGTCAGGATTCACCAAACGGCACCGCCTTCACGTATCTCCGTGTATTCATTGCTTCAAGAACAGATCATAACTAGAAAAGGAACCCAGCAACTACCAAGTCGGCCGCCGATACACTAATTAGTTCGTCACGGCGATACCACACCTGTCTTGAAAACAAATTATCAAAAGAAGAGAGCTGCTCAGCTGACCAGCCGGCTGCCGCGGGCCGCTATAATACGACCGCTACACAGGCGGCGCCGCCCGGACCCTGGACAGGCGCTACCTCCCACACACGCGCACACGCGCTGGAACTCGGCCAGGACATGACACACCGCCGGGTGACATGGGTGCACAGGCCGCCGGCTGATGTCAGGATAGGTGACGTCAGGAGAGATATACAGGTTACCGGCTGTCAGGACGGGTATAGTCGACTACAGAATAATGTTCCACTCCTCAGAAGCTATCAGTTGACCGGAGCGCTAAGTTGTGCCGTTTATCACGCAATTAAGCGTGTCGATTGTGAGCATTGGGACAAAGCTATAATTTGTGAACTCAGCCCATGTGATGCGGCACTGCCTACCACGCCAGGCAAATAATGGTCTGTGAAAAGTGGAACATCATTCTGTAGTCGACTATACTCGTACAGGCCGCCGGGCGGTGTCAGGACAGGTACAGGCCGCCGGGTGAAACAGGTGCACAGGTCGCAAGGCGATGTCAGATATACAGGCCACCGAGTGATGTCAGGACGGGTACAGGCCGCCAGGTGATGTCAGGAGATATACACAGGTCTGATGTTGGAGACGCGCGGTCCGGCGCGGCTGTTCACAGCGTGGCGATATCAGGAGAGGCGCGGCTGTGGCAATATCAGGAGAGGCGCGGCTGTGGCGATATCAGGAGAGGCGCGGCTGTGGCGATATCAGGAGAGGCGCGGCTGTGGCGATATCAGGAGAGGCGCGGCTGTGGCGATATCAGGAGAGGCGCAGCGTGGCGATATCAGGAGAGGCGCGGCTGTAGCGATATCAGGAGAGGCGCGGCTGTTCAGAGTGGCGATATCAGGAGAGGCGCGGCTGTGGCGATATCAGGAGAGGCGCGGCTGTTCACAGCGTGGCGATGTGGGGTGACGGCGGCCGGCCGAAGTCGGGAGAGGCGCGGGTCCGAGGCCGGCCCGGGTCGGGAGGCGGGGACAGCTGGAAGCCGACCCGGTGCCGGCGGCCGCCCGGCCGGACGATAGGATCGCTGCCGGACAGGCCGGCCTGCAGGCACACGGACGGCTGGGTCACGGTCGGTCAGGACGGGCTCGGCGGGCAGGGAAGGTCACCCGGTCACCGGCCCCGCACCGGTCCCATACCCCACTAACGACCTAACGACCTCCCCATACAGAATTAGCGAGCAAAAACGTTAAAAGGCAATGATAATGAGCACGAGGGGCTCCGTGCAATAGCAAGGAAAGGATTGATTTGGCTAACGATGGTCAGTGAGAGTAAAAAATAAAATAGTAGCTAACATTAACCATTATTGCTGCTCATCTACAAGATAAGCAGTTTCCGAACAGACGGCAATCCTACACTTTGATTATCGGCGCAGTATGCGCGGCGCCCCTACATCATCTGCACGGGACCGCGCCTACACACGGCCAACACACGGGCTAAAAATAAACGCGCGGTACGTCTACATGAGTGATGAGCAAGGGTCCACGTCTCGGGACATGTATTCAGGCGCGCGCGCGGCTGTCTTAGTCTGTTCCCACGCTACCCTCCCAGCGACTGCAGCGGCAGCCTGCAGCCAGCACTCATACAGCACTCTCACTTAGAATATCTAGGGATGGGGCGCCGCCCCTAACCGTATTGCGAATACTGTCCCTATTGCACAGAGGGGTCGGCGCCGGCGCGGTGCGTCACACGGCAGCCGAGTTGGGCTCGTCGCCGTCGGCCGGCTGCTCGGCGGCCGACCCCTCGCTCGGATGGGAGGCGCTGCGCTGACGCACCTCCACGAAGTTGACGTGCCGCGCGGGGGCGGTCGGTCCGCTGGGCGTGGCCGGCACACTGAGCAGTGAGCTCATCTCGGACTGTTCCGTGTCGCTGCCGCCGCCGCCGCCGGCAGACTGGGCCGGCGCGCCGTCCGGCATCGAGACGAGCGTGGCGCTGGAGTCGCCGCCGTTGCGGCTCACCGTGTTGTTGGGGTTCAGGTGGAAGTCGCGCAGCGAGTCCGTCCGGGAGCCCTGCCGACACAGCCGGCCCCCGGTCAGCGAGGTCCTGCCTACACCGCGGGCCTGACAGCCGCGGTCACGACCCTCCCCGATAGGCAGCGGCACAGGACGGAGGGACCGCCCTACCACACACTACTTGACAGGCAACTGAGCTACAGTCGGTGAGCCCCCGCCCCTCTCTCTCCCTCTAATTCAGCCGCAAGTTTCCAATGACGACTGGGGAGTCAAGAGCCCACTGCCCGCGCTGAGCCAATCCCCTCCCTTCCCTGAACGCCCCTCGTCGTCGGTGTGGGTTTGTGTCGCATACAGTCATGGCTAGCAGTACCGCATATCGGGGAGAGCGCCACACTCAGCACCGTGTGCTGGACGTAAGAGGCAGTGGCGGCCGCCTCTCCCGTCAATACAGTTACAGACTGAAGTCATCACAAACGACTCCCTATCAGGACAGTCGTCTCCCGTCACCGCTGTCTCACCAGCGCGGCAGTCGTCTCCCAGTCTCCGCCGTCTCACCAGTCGCCTCCGGTCCCCGCCGACTCACCAGTGCGGCCATGTCGTGCGCCAGCGACTCCGAGTGGTCCACGGAGCGGGAGGGGTCACGCTGCGCCGCCACCAGCGTCGCCTTGCGCGCGGCCACGTAGTGCAAGCGGCGCACCTTCAGGTAGTAGACCTCGGTGATGGCGCGCACGCAGTACTCGGGTGTGAAGCTGGCGCGCATACCGCCGTCCAGCGAGTGGGCCGAGCCGCGCAGTAGCTGCGGCGAGGCCTCGCCTGAGGACAGACGCCGCGCGTCAGTTACAGCTCACAGAACGGCGGGGGCACGGCATAACCGGGCCGCAATACGGCACGGTACGCTGGCCGCAGCAGGAGACCCCTTAAACTGACACGGTAGGGGAGAGCTGATCAATACTACGGTACACGGTACGGTGGGTACGGTACACCCGCCTCAATGCGGCACGGTGCGCTGCTGAGACGCCCGGATCACAGGCCGCATACGCAGATACGCAGACCGTGGGTGGATATCAGAGGCAGGGGAAGACGGACTGCTGTGGCCTCCGACGTCCAACTCACACTCCGAGGGCAGCATCACCAGCGCCTGGGTGCCGAAGTAGCTGAACGGCCCGCTCTCGAACGCCAGGTTCTCCTTGCCCATGGTGACGTGCACGCGACCTTCCAGAATCATGCAGAAGAAGTCCACCGGCTTATTCTGTGAAACACACAAACAAATAACTTCAGAGGAAGCCACGTCACCCGCGGGGGAGGTAAGTAGAAATCCAAACCTTGAAGAAACCTGATACAAGGCTGCTACTGGTGAACTTCATACCACAGTTCGAGGAAGAATCATCTTCCGGTCAGCCTAGTTCGCCTTATATACACAAACTGGTAAGCATGTGATGTAAGCACCTTATCGACAGGGTTGTTAAACACAACAGGCGTCTGGGGCGGAAAGTTGAAACAAAGTCAACATACGTGTACCTACGCATTTATAAATATGTGACCATTCATATTTGACACCGCATGACGAGTTATGTACGGAAATAGTGCAGGAATGGCAGTGAGAGCGCCGCTCACTGACGCGGTACAATGCGCCAGCCGACGCTCACTGACGCGGTACAGTACGCCAGTCGACGCTCACTGACGTGGTACAGTACCACTGACGTCAGGACCACTGACGGTACGCTCACTGACGCGGCACAGTACGGCAGCTGGGGAGCCCGGGAGGCCCCGGCGGCGGGCCGGCGCCGCTCGCCGCCACCGCCCGCCGCCACCGCCGACTCAGGATCGGCCCGCACAGAAGCCAGACAGGCTGACGGGCCGGGCCGGGACGCGACACTGGCAGCCTGGTGCGGCTTTATGGCCACATATATCTGATCATTTGTCCCCGATATAAAAACACAAGGGACATGAGTACCTAAATGTCACTGATCTCATCCTAGTAACCACGGCAATCCCCGCAGACTAGAAGACGATAAATGCGCTACCAGCTAACGGTAAGGCCTGTCAACGGTTTTAAGCAGGTTAGCTGGGTATTTTTTACGCCACGACAAAGATAGAGACGGTTAATATTTGAACTCCTCTTAACCACTAATGCCGGCTTTCTGATTTTACTATATATGTTACAGGCAAAGTGAAAAACCAGGCATTTTGCAAAATGCCTAGGCAATTTGCAAAATGACTGACCCGTCAGGCATTTTGCAAAATGCCTGGGCAGTTTGCAAACTGCCTGGCCCACCAGGCATTTTGCAAACTGCCTGAAATTATTTTCCCAGGCAGCTTGCAAAATGCCTGACATCGAACTCACACCAGCGACGATGCGTTAGCATCATTGTAAGTGCCGCTTACAGAGGTTTATCACAAGCGATGCGCACCAAGTGGGAGGACGCACAGTGAGACATTCTCCGGGTAGCGCTGCCGAGTTCAAGGTCACTGAGCCCCAGACAGCGGCCCGGCCTCCGCGCCGGCTGCCGGGCGCGCTGCGCGGTTTTATCGGCAAACACGCGTTAAACACGGTTCATTATTTCTAAGAGCCTTGGTGACTTTTTGAAAATACTTTTGGTTGATATTAATCAGAAAAGAATTGCTGTGAGCGCCGTCTAATTGTTGCATGTGCCGGTCGTGTGACCGCTCGTGTGACCGCCCGATTCGTGCGGCTGGGCCGCCGCTCGGCGCAGCTGACCGACCGACTGCCTGGGGGCGGGACGAGACGAACCGCCGCTGACCGACTGATGGTCACTCTCTGACCGGCCGTGATCCAATACAGTCCGTCTGATGAAGAAGTGCGTGTGAGTGAGACAAGATAGCGAGAATGTGCTTCCGATGTATGGTAGATTGATTAGCGGGCCACACGTCTGCATTAGGTATCAATGCATTATGACCGTGTAATGATGAACATACCCGTTGCATGTAAAACTTGAAATACCTAAGTAAGCGTCTTTTTATTATAAATGCACGGGGGTCGTGGACGACCAAAAACTTCATTTCTTGAAAAGACACATGCTCTTGAAGTCCATGGAATGCATTTCATCTCATTACATTACAATGCATTGTTTTTAAATGCCAATGCTTTTCCTGAAATGCACCAAAAATTGCCGATTTCTCAAGATATAGACTATTTCTTTCCACGTCATGACACGTGATGCAAAAATGCTCATTGGATACGCTTATCTCTTCTATCGATCGGTGGCAACCCCATGTCGCTGCAGCCCTCCGTTGCCGTGATGTAAGCACGGGAGGCGAGGAATGTCGGGTCGATATTCGGCCGGTCGCCGTTTTTCCATGTCCATGTTTCTCTGTGCTCTGCTCCGCGCCCCATCGCAGCATTCATACACACGGCTACAACTCCGTATACGAAAGGTAGGGAGACGTTGGCTCAATCTACACAGTCCATTCGGTACTAGTTCCATCTCGACGAAAGTGGCGCAAGACGTGAGTATATTCGTAAATATTGAATGTGTTAGGGCTCAGGCACATGGGAACATTTGTGGTCAACGCGTGCCGTCAACAAAAACGGTAAAACAAATCAATCAGAACTCGGGCATTTTGCAAAATGCCTGACCCGCCAGGCATTTTGTAAACTGCCTAGGCAATTTGCAAAATGCCTGGTGGGTCAGGCAGTTTGCAAACTGCCTAGGCATTTTGCAAAATGCCTGGCCGGTCAGGCATTTTGCAAATTGCCTGGGCATTTTGCAAAATGCCTAGCCGGTCAGGCATTTTGCAAATTGCCTAGGCATTTTGCAAAATGCCCGAGTTTTCACTTTGCCTGTAACATAAACACTTCATACGCACGGCCCACTCATCAGCATCTCCCTATCTACCCGGGTCCGCGTCCAGAGTTTGTGTGTTCAATCCCGGTACCCCAGCCCCTCCCCCCGTCCCACGGTAGCACTATCAGAGCGCGTGACACGATGACCGCAGCCGGCCGTCAGCACACAGAAGCGGACAGCAGCGGCATGCAGAGCGCCGCGGCACGGCCGCCGTGGACACGGGCCCCGGAGGAGCGGTGTGGTCGCACCTGCCGACCCCAGTCTGCCGAGCCGACCGGCCCGGGCCGGACGAACACCGGACACACGGGCAGTGACGAGTGTTCAGAGCAGCAGTCACCCAACGACCACGACCGCAGAGCCGACTCCGGCGGGGCCGGCGGCCCACCTGACCGGCCGGCCCGCACACCTGAGCTGAGGCGGCGGAAATCTCCCCGCCGCGCGGCCGGCCGGGCACACCTCCGAGCTGCAGATCACGCCGCCACGCTATCGTGACATCCAACATATACCAACTCTGCGGCGAGGGTGACGAAATCGCCGCAGCTAGTGGGAAGAATAACGTGTATAACCACGGACCAGCGTGATCGCCGCGAGATTAATCCGAATTAAATACCGACGGAATTCGTCATCACAACGAACCAGAAAACCGTCGTAAAGCTGTCTAAGAACGCTAAGTATGCCTCTCCCAGCTGTCAACAGAACCGGGCAAACACTACTTCGTTGTGAACATACAAATTTCAAGGGGCCCAAGACAGCGGACCCAATGAACCCGTCCTATGAATCCAAATATTTTAAAATGCAATGCCGACTTTTCCAGAGGTCAAAGCTCAGGCCAAATTTAAGCTTGCCTCTCCAAATACCTAAAGCTTAATTAATTAAATGGAGACAATGTATATCATGAAAATAAGCAAAGACAACATATAGATTAAAGATGGAAACCATCTTTCGTGGAGCAAAACTTTTATAAAGTCAGATTAATTACGAAAATAACCAGAAAAGGAAGGTCTGCCTCCAGTAAGCTTCTGTCATCAGACACCAACTCTTACACCTAAATATTTCAGATAGCAGAATATACTATGTAACTTGTCAAATTTTACATGAAATGTTATTCTTTTTAATAGTGAAGTACTGCTGTGGAAGTGGCGAAACTAACCTCCTGCATTTCAGGAGTTCAGAGTACAAAAATACTAACACCCGGTAAAGTATTATTACCTTTACGATTACACCATTTGACCTAAAATAAAATATCACTGACACTCAACATATTGTACAGTGTGCACTGACAGCACGATATCAATTAATAACTCTCGCCAGCTACTGAGCCAAGCACGCACACCCCCACCCTTCGACACCTCCCTCCCCCCTTCCCCCCGTAACCGCCACTGACCCCGGTAGCCGCTAACTGACCCCTGGTAGCAGCTAATTACTGACCACCAGTAGCAGCTAACTGACCCGTTCGTAGATGTAGACGTTCGCGTCGTCCCGGGGCTTGATGTGGCGCACGACGTCGCGCTCGAGCATCTTTTTCAGCACCGACGGGCAGATGAACTCGTTCTTGAACGGCTCCACTGCCCGGATCACAGGGGGAACGGATCGTCAGACGACCGGCGCAGTACGAGGAGAAATAGTCACATTTACGACCAGCGCGGCACGGTAGTAAACAACAATACTGTCCCTGGAGCGGTATGAGATGAAGGGGATGATGAAGTGGTGAGAAAGCGGGTGAGGGAAGAGAGAGAGAGAGAGAGAGAGAGAGAGAGAGAGAGAGAGAGAGAGAGAGAGAGAGAGAGAGAGAGAGAGAGAGAAAGAGAGAGAGAGAGAGAGAGAGAGAGAGAGAGAGAGAGAGAAAAGAAGAGAGAGAGAAAGAGAGAGAGAGAGGGGGAGCGGGAGAGAGTAGGAGGAGGAAAAAACGAGATAAGCCGTGCAGCAGTGTCACAAGTGTTGACTATCTAGCATTGCAAAAACAAACACGGTGACAGATATGACGGCACAAAGACTGCACAGTGCGAACAGGACCGATAGTGCCGGCTCACGGTCGGCACCTGGGCCCAATCTTACCAATGCCGTGAATAGGATTTGGCAGCACTGGGCGGAGTTAACGGCACTGATATCAAAGACGTCCTATTATTTACATCCAGCTAATCTTGGCTAATGATTTTGATAGCGTGAATGATTATGAATGTTGCCTGAACGAATGAATTGGTGAATGTGGAATAGTTCTGAAAGTTACCAAATGCCGTGAATGCGCATTCACGGCATTTGGTAAGATTGGGCCCTGGTGAGGGGTGTACAATGGTGCACCGTCTCTCTGTCCGGCACACCGAGGACGGCACTGAGCTCGGTCACATCACAGCCAAGAACAGGGGGAGCAGACAAAACCCAGCGAACGACCGTGGAATGTGGACCGTCGGAACTCAGACCGGGCGATAAATAATACCACCACAGATTGCTGTACATGAGATGAAAAAAGAAGCTATATGGAATGGCTGATACAGATATAATACAGAAAAAACAACCACCATTTCGAAGGTGACCAGTCTACTAACTTATCTGAAGGAGCTGGTAGGTGGGGAAGGAGTTAGTTTAGTACACAGTCGTCTCACCTGTCTGAAGAAACTGTAAGGTCTCCTCACCTGTCTGAAGGACCTGTAAGGCAGGGGGAGGGGGAGTAGCACACAGTCTCCTCACCTGTCTGAAGGAACTGGAAGGTGGCCAGCGCCAGCTGCGGCGATATGTGAATCTGGTTGTTGGTCGGCTGCGCGAAGGCGATCGGGTCCGGCATGCGGCGCTTCTTCCCGCGGCGCTTCTTGGTCTTGTTGTCGACTGCGGGGGGGGGGAGGTCAGGGGTCAGAGGGGAGGTCAGGCGGCGCCCCCGCCGCCCGTCCACGAGTACCCGCCACCCGTTCCCCAACTACGCAGTCTGTCCGCCGCCGGCGTCCGATCAATACAATTCGAGCCGGCGGCCGATCGGATGTGGGCGCCGCCGCGCCGGGCCCCCGCGGCCTCGGCCGCCCCGCTGCTCGGGTGTCGCGGGCGAGCGGGCCTCCTGAACTGCACCCTCACTGAGCGATACACCACTGAGGTACCGACGGAGTCGGGCACACAGCATGGAGGCAGCCCTACCGATGGCCCATAACTCGGTATCAGCCTAACCGATTGTCCCACATTGTACGAACTATCACTCCCCCCCCCCCCCCCCGGGGTACCTCTACACAGCACGGCATTAGTCCGACCGGCGGCCCCACCAGGGTATCAGTCCCAGCCGTGCCGGGTCTGCCCACCCGGCCGTGCCCTGTCCCGGCGCCCCGCGCTGCTCTCTATCCGCCGGGCGCCGCCACACCCGGCAGTTCGCGCTACCGGCCACTCCTTGCACCGCGGCCGCCGCCGTTCCGCCGAGCGCCGGCCCGGTTCGCGGAGCCGGGAGCGGCCGCCGGCGGAAGTCTCGGACGTTTGTTTGTCGCAGCTACAAGGCGCCGATTGATCAGGGTGATATTGCGGCAGTAGAGGTGATAAGGCCGGCACCAGGGCGGCCTGTGTGACACAGGCGCTCGGTATCCCCAGTCTGCCGGCTGCGGCTGGACTGTGTGACGCAACCCGCTCGGTACTCCCCCCCCTCACATCCCGCCGACTGCGGCTGGATGGCCTGGAGGCACAGGCGTCCGGCATCCCCCTATCCGCCGGCTGCCGCCGGACGCTCGGTATCCCCCTATCCCGCCGGCTGCTACTGGACCCCATGACACATGCACTCGGTGCTACCCCGGCAGGTTTACCGGACGTATGACACATCGACCCATGTCACCGAGAGCGGCCCGCGATCGGCGCCATCTCGTACCACTGAGCGCAGCGACCGCAGCCCGTCACCGGCAGTCTGGCCGGAGTCAGCGGAGGCCCTCCCTCCCACGGTCGGCGGTGCCGCCGCTCCCGACTTCCGACCGACGTGCCACCGCGACTGCGTGGCGCCCCTCCCTCCCTCCCCACCCCAGTTTCATCAGGTCTCGGGCGCGCGACCGGGCGGTTCTTGGGAAAGGAGCGGCCGACCCCCCCCTGACCGAGTAATCATGTGTCTCCGGTTCGAGACCGGGACCACAGGGGAGGCCGCCGTAAAAACGCCGTGGGTGCTACACGACCGGAGCCGCTCGCTGACGACCGGCGCGGTGCAGCGGCGGCGGAGCAGACCGGCCGGGGCTGACGGCGGACGGACAGAGTGGAGCCGGGACCGCGGCCAGATGAAACCGGTCCCTACCCTCTCCAAACATATACACTACCCTCTCCAAACGTACCGGGGCGAACGGTGGGCCGGGAAAGGGTTATGGACGCGTCACAGAGCAGGGTATCCAGATCCAGGGGGAGGGGCAGTCCAATGGGTGACAGAAAGCTCAGCACTTGGAGATGGCCATCAGGAGCAGATGCAGCGGACATTGCGTGTGATTTTGATGCCGGTGCAGATATTTTGCAGACGGACATGACCAATGAGTAAGGAATGTGTCGCTCTTAGCGGAGTGGGATTGCACACAGACAGAATCGTGAGAACTGAGAGCTCACTGACTCGATGAGATGAAACAGCGTGGGATTTATGTCAGTACCGTTAGAGTCCAGAGAATCACACGAGTCACATAGGTGGGCGGCGAGCAGTGACTCACGCAATATACGCGGGATAAGTCCGGAACCACATTTCCTGATAAAAGAACGGACCGAACCGGGCGGAAATACACTCGGGAAAAAACTATACGGCACGAACGATTCCGAAAAGCGCAGCACGGTCACTGACGGTCGGAGCACCGTCGAACAAATGGCGGTGCCGTGGAGAGAGGCTCTACGGGGAGAGAGGCTCTACGGGGAGAGAGGCTCTACTGGGAGAGAGGCTCTACGGGGAGAGAGGATCTACGGGGAGAGAGGCTCTACTCGGAGAGAGGCTCTACGGGGAGAGAGGCTCTACTGGGAGAGAGGCTCTACGGGGAGAGAGGCTCTACTGGGAGAGCACGGAGTCGCTGAGGGAGTTCAGACCGCTGCTGGGGGGGGGGGGGGGGACCACTCACTGAGAACGTCCGTCTGGTCCCGGGGAGGGGGAGGGGAGGGACATGTCCCCTGGACGGGGCACTCGCCACTCACTGAGTACGTCCGTCTCGTCGACGATCTCGGACTGGATCATCTCCTCAATGACGTCCTCCAGGGTGACCAGGCCGACCAGCTCGTAGTACGGGTCGCCCACCGTCTCCGTGACCACCCGCTGCACGAACGCCATGTGGCCCTTGTTGCCTGTGAACGGCGCGGCACACACGTCAGCGCGCTGAGGTCATGAATACTGACCTTGGAGCGATCCGATACTGCGACTGTACAGTGTAACGGCAGGCAGGACCCGGTGACCCGCCCGGGTAGAGTCCCGCCCGCCGACCCTCCGCGGCTGCCGTCTGTTTGCAGCTGAGGCCAGCACCGCCCCGTCACGGACCGGCTCTCCCCGAGCCACAGATGGGGCCCCGCCAAACAAACAGCCCTTCCGCCCCGGCCGGCCTCCCGCCCCGCGGTAAGCACTTTCTGATGAGCGGCAGCCGCTGCGAGTTTCTAATGCACAGTATGGATGCCACCTGGTTTTGCTTGCTGATGAAATCCTATCTGGTCCAGTTGCAAGCCAAATGATAATGGACACGTCTCAGTGACCCTGTGGCCTGGCGGGGGTCGCTGGGCGCTGGCTGACTCGAGTCCGCGGCGGTACGCCATCTGTGATTAATTACCCACGGCACACAGACTGCCCGGCGCTACTGTTACCGTATACGCCCCTGGGTATACATACACCGTTCAGTTACTGAAACTATACGACAATCATATCACAAGCCACCTGAGCATGTCCATCGCTCCTTGAGCCACTGATATGATTAAAAGGTTACGCCATTCACAAATCCACCACTTAAGGTAAACAGCAGATAAGAAGCTTGTCAGCACACTGTTTTTAACTTTTAAACACAGACCAGTGTTCGCAGACGCCGCCCGGTCTGGCCCGGCTGGAGGCGCTGGCCGGCCCACACCCACCTTCTTTGAACTCGCGGAGCATGACGTCCAGCGTGACGTCCTCGAAGACGAACGACCACGGGTTCTGGTAGAAGTGGCACAGCGTCTTGATGGGCGTGCAGTCGTCCGGGTCGACAAACGCCATGTCTTTGGCCAGCATCACGGCCACGATGTTGGAGCGGTCGCCCTCGTACACCGGTATCCGCGAGTAGCCTGGGGTGGGGAGGGGCCGGGCGTCAGACGCAGGGCAGCACCGAGCCCCGCGGGAGGCAGCGCCGCCGGCCGACACACGGAATAGATCCAGGGAGCAAACAATGACAAAACACTACACCGTTACCAATGTTATATGCATCCGCTCACGCCAATCTAATCACTCAGCATTCATCGAGCGCTGGAGGGCGTCTGGCTTCGGGCGCAGGTCGGATAAGGCGGCCGGCTGGAGAGGGGTGGCTGCCGCGCCGGCGGTGGGCGGCATGCCCGGCGCCCCGCCGCCACTCACCCTGCTCCATGATCTCTGAGATGGTCTGATAGTCGAGGATGGCCACATAGGGCAGCATGTAGACGTCCTCCAGCGGCGTCATCACGTCTGCCACCGTCTTGGCCTTCAGGTCCAGCGCGCCCACGATCATGTTCTGCTCCTCATTCTCCAGACCCATGTCGTCCTTGTTGAGCTGCAGGGACACAAAGGTCACGGTCAGGTCAGGTCAGATCACGGCGGGTCAGATCACGGCCACCGTCAGGTTACAGCAATGAGGGTAGGCCGTTGGCCGTCGACCCGACCCCGGCGGCCAGCGGGCAGCACCGCGCAGTTTCGACCGGCGCCCCACCGCATAGGACCAGCTAAATTGTCTGGGTCTGTTTATAATCACGGAGAAATAATCCGAGAGTATATACAACGCCAATGATATACACAAAACAGGCTGGGCAGAGCCCTACTCCCGACTGGACAGCATACACTGGGGCAGAGCGGCACCCAAATCGAGGCCAGGCGGGTCGCAGGGCCCACACCACATATCAGTGGGAATCTCTCCAGTGTCGCGGAAGACACCGCTATTACGCTGGCTGTAACGTACGGCTTCTTTGTGCCACGGCCGGGGATCGCGGCCGCCAGAGCCGGTCCGACGCCCGCACGGCAGGTCACCATCGACCCATCTACCAGGTCACCATCGACCGTACCCACCAGAGGACACCGGAGCACACTGACACACACACACACACACAAACGCCGGCGGCGGCCCCGTCCGCCGACCGAGCGGCGGCATCACCCCGTGAGGCCGGAGACCAGAAAACCCTCAGTCCTGCCTGGCCTCTCGGAGCCGGGCCGGGCGCGTTCTGCGTACTGCGTGGCGGTCCATCGTCGATCGATCAGCCGCTGCGGCCTCTGCCGATGACAGGTTGAGCCGGAACACGTCGCCCGGCCCGCGTCATTGCCCGAGCGTGTCGACGTCGGACTCTGGCGCCGGTCGGAAGTCGGACAGTGACCGGCAGGGCACCGACGGCGGTCCGCCGCGGGGCTTCCCCGGCCCCGGGCCATGTCAGCTCGGACGGACCGGACCCGCATCACGCCAATACACACACCCAGGTGGTGTGAAAGGGAGTAGCCCCCTCCCTACAATCTCTGCTGTGGCGTCATCAGGTGACACGCGGCGCCTGCCAGCTGTTTGGGCCGTCCTGCGGCCGCGGCCGTGGCGTTACCCGGCTCGCCATGGAGTCGGCCATCGACCGGCCGCCCACCGAGCGGCGGCGCGCCCGGTCACGGCCACGGCCGCCGCCGCCGCTCTCAGTTTCGGCCGTGACGTCAGCGCCCTGGGGCTGGAGCGGGTGGCGGCCCGCAGCCGGCCGGGCGGGCCGAGCCGCGGGTCGGAGGTGTTGGATGCGGGTCGTAGGCAGGTGTCCCAGACATCCGCCGGTGCGTCAGCCAGCGCTCCGGGCCGACGGTGACACCGCCACCCCCTGTTGCCGGTGACGGCGGCTGACTGGCACCCGTCCCCCGACCCGACTGCTCCACTGGCATCCGAGCCACACACACCGACAGGCGAGCAGGCCGTGTTTACGGCGGAAGCTGGGCATCCGGCCAGGCCGCCCGACCGTCCGCGTCGGCGGTATTCTAAAATACCTGCCGTCGGTCGCGACGTGAGCGTTCTGCGGCTATTGGCGGCCGCGCCGATCGGCCGCCGACCGCCCTGCGCTCGCAGTGGCAGGCAGACGAGTAACGGCCAGCTAAACTGGGTCCCGACTGAACAACACCCGCCAGCTCGGCCTGGCGTCTGCTTCGCTGTAACTGCGGCATGGCTCACATCCCTTCCCGGGGCGTTTGGGTCATGTCCCGAGTCCGACCCACTATCTGCGCGTCAGCTTCTCAGTACATAAGTACGCCCAGGGGCTCAAAATATGGTTCATGCCCCCCTGTCCTACTATCTCGACTTGGCAAATCCTTGACCTTGACCTTGCATCATGTGTCATTACCCATATGCCTTTACAGGGACGCTCCCCCGCTCCAATATCCCAGTCTGTAGCGGGGCATTTATTGCTAAATCGATCATATCATTGATACAACCAACGATTAAATCTGGTAAAGTTCCGTTCTAATTCTAATTGCCCTACTTTACGACGCACGACATCGTTGTTGCTTAGTTTTCCAGTTACAAATTAATATTTGGAGCCATATTTATAAAAAGCCACATAATTTGGGCTTAATGGCATTATCATAACACAAACGCACAGGATCAGGGGAGCGACATGCTCTCAACAGCCGAACGGAGAGGGTAAGGGCACAACTGAGACAGCATCAACAAGGAAGGGTTTGATCTCGTTGGCACACGGAGCGGGTGCCGAGTCTGCCAGGGGTCACCGAGACCGGCCGTTACACGTGGCCGCCTGGGGTCCGGGCTGTGCCTGTGACCGCGCGGTGACGACGGCCGCCGGCCGAGTCCACCTCCCCACCAGCCGGTCAGTGTGGGGATCTCCTGCCGGGGAGGCGCTCCCCACCAGCCGGTCAGTATGGGGATCTGCTGCCGGGGAGGTGCTCCCCGCCGGTCAGTGTGGGGAGCTGCTGCCGGGAGGTGCTCCCCACCAGCCGGTCAGTGTGGGGATCTGCTGCCGGGAGGTGCTCTCCGCCGGTCAGTGTGGGGATCTGCTGCCGGGAGGTGCTCCCCGCCGGTCAGTGTGGGGAGCTGCTGAGGTGCTCCCCGCCGGTCAGTGTGGGGAGCTGCTGCCGGGAGGTGCTCTCCGCCAGCCGGTCAGTGTGGGGATCTGCTGCCGGGAGGTGCTCCCCGCCGGTCAGTGTGGGGAGCTGCTGAGGTGCTCCCCGCCGGTCAGTGTGGGGATCTGCTGCCGGGAGGTGCTCCCCGCCGGTCAGTGTGGGGAGCTGCTGCCGGGGAGGTGCTCCCCTCAGTGTGGGGATCTGCTGCCGGGAGGTGCTCCCCGTCGGTCAGCTGACCGGGCGCCGACGGACCCCCACCGCCTGCCGTGACCGTCGCGGCCGTCTGGTGACCTTGGCTGCCGGCTGGCCGACCGCCAACAGCACGCGTATTGAACGGAACGGAGAGGGCGAGGCGGGCGAGGCCGCCGCGCCGCCTTTGTGGAGAAAGTCGCCGCACCGGCGCGGGCGGCACCACGTGACAGGACGGCCGGGGGGTCCTCGGAGGACAGCGACGGGTCCTCGTAGGACAGCGGCGGGTCACCGGAGGACAGCTAGGTCTTCCTGGAACACCAGCGGGCACTCAGAGGGCGGCGACAGTGGAGAGCACGCCTCCGAAGGCCTCTTGCGGGGGACAGGGCCGGGTAGGTCATGGACTCCTAGTGGCGAGATGTGAGAACCGTTCCCATTGGGACATACATAGCCGCTGGGGACCGTTTCCTGTGGTACGTGTATAATTGGCGGGGACCGCTCCCAGAGGCACAGTCGGATGGGGACCGCTCCCGGCGGTACGCTCCGGCTGCGGAGGGGTCGCGGTCCAAATGCCCAGCCGGGGAGACTGTCGGATCCCGGCACGGTGAAGCAGTCGGGTGCCGCAAACGGAAGCAGAACCACTAGTGAAGTGGTGCTGGTGGTGCGCCCGATTTCCACACCCCAACGGTACCGCCTCCTGTCAATTCGGCGAATATGTACCGAGCCATTTGCAAGTGTTCCCATTTCACGGGTGACCCTGGCGAGGGAAATGGAGGTCGCGGCACAACCGTTAGCCGGCGGCCGCCGGCGCGCTTCCAGGAGGTCTGGGTTCGTACGGCGCCGACGTCCCCCGCGCGGCGCCCGTCACTGCCAAATCGGCGCCGCGCCGGCCCGCGCAACAATGAGCCGCGCGTGTGATTTACATCGGGAGCGGAGCGCGGACGGGCCGGGTGACGGGTGACGGGCAGGCGGCGCCTCACGGCCACCCCCAGGTACCGCAGTGGGTCACCCGGTACTGCGAGGGAGCCGGCCCGGAGCGGCGGCGGCGGCGAGTCTGAGGCGCGCCGGCCACCGCCGGGCCCCGAACCGGCGTTCGGCGGCCGCTCAGCCAGCCCGGACGAGCCGCCGGGGATTCGACATCGATTCGCGGCCCGATCAGGTCGGCCAGACACGACAGGGAAACAGGCGTCCCAAAATCACTACCAGCGGAAGGCAGATTAAACTATCGACCGATCAGACTCCCCTGCTGTGGAACTTTTGTGGAAGCTATCTCCTTCTACGCATGAGCCCGTTCCACAGAATCAGCCTCAGGTGCACACAGACTGACACGCGTTCCCTGACGGCCGAGTGCTGCGCGTCTCGTTCGGGATTGGTCCCGGCGCCGCCGGTCGGCCGGGGCAGGCCGGGGCGGGGGCGGGGGGCGCCCCGTCGGCTCGGTCCCGGCCGTACCACCCGCACTATCGAGCCGCGCCGCCGCCGGCGCGGCCCCACCGCGCGCCTCTCACCACACACCGACACGTCACACGGCTGCAATCGGCGCAACCGCCGTAATTCGGCACTCACGCCGTACGGCATCACACGTAATCGTATCAACGCCACTGGGTCTGCGCTACAAGTGTCAACTGTCACCTGATCAGGTCGAACTAGATAGGACGAATGTGAATATGTGTTAAGAACATAACTTTCAACTGCTTCACAGGAGCAAATTTCTGCTGGCGCTGCCAAAGGTTATCCAGACAACGTGCTGCGCTAGGGCCCCATCCAGACATCAATAAGAATAAGCTTCTGCAGTACCTACAGCGAGGTAAATTAAAAGGAAAAACCAGTAAAACGCCTTTCGGGCGAAGAACGAGCGAGCGAGATAGTAAGCCCTGCACGTGCGGAAGGGCGAGAGGGTACTTCCAACGGGCTTGTGCAAAACACCCTTCTAACCGGTCGCTAGCGGTGTGCCAAATTTGAACGCAATCGGTCCAGCCGTTCCTGAGATCTGGAAGCGGCATTCTGCACGTGCGCACGTGCAAACGGGGTCCAAAATGACTTGCACTGCACCCTACTAACTGGTCCCCAACCGTGTACCAAATTTGAGCGCCATCGGCCCAGCCATTCTCGAGATCTGGAAACGCCCCCTGCACGTGCGCACGTGCAGTAGCACCCTAACCGCAACACATGGGAACGCATTGCCTGGTGGGTGCCTACCTGTATGCCAAGTTTCAGCAAAATCGCCCCAGTAATTACCGAGTTACTGAAATGGGAACAAATTTGGCACCTCTTCTTTTTGTATTTTGCACGTGCAGTGGGGGTCGCTCACATAGATCAAGAGAATCCGACCTTTGGTAGAAGGGATGCAGCTACCCTACAAAAATTACCGCAAGTCAATCGCCCAAGCGGCTGATGAGATATGAGCCTCTCAAAATCAATACTTTTGCAAAACAGCTTGAACACCCTTGACTTTTCACGTGGCACGTGCCACGACGGTCACTGAGATGTATCAAAAGTAGTCAATTACGGGGTAGAAGGGATGGGGCTACCCAGCAAAAAAGACCGCAGGTCAATCGGTCCAGCGGTTGCTGAGATATAAGCCTCTCAAAAGCGTTACAAGCCGGGCCGGGCCGGGCCGGGCCGGGCCGGGCCGCTCATACTGAGATTTTTCCGTTATATTGAAAAGACTCACTTCGCTCGCTGCGCTCGCTCGCTCGTAATAAATGCAGTTTCAATATACAGTTTTGCATTGTTTGGCGATTGCCATCCTTTCACGAACACAAATTCCTCCTTTCAGTTATACCCAATGGATTTCCGGAGATACAGGCGAACTGTACCCACTGAAGATACCATTGGACATGCTGATTGCGGTTACGCCGAAACGTTTATCGTTTATTTTAGGCACTAGAAAAAACTGCTCTCTAGAATGCAAGGCTTCAAAGCTATCAGGATTTTGCTGGTGCGCGCGCACGTCCTTGTGGTTTGTCGCGGCGTTGGGTTGGGTGAGTGTGGGGGAGGAGTAGATATCGGGCCACTTGCCTTGATGAGCTCCTTGAGCCGGTCGCGGTTGTAGGTGTTCCCGATCTCCTCGCCGAGCACCCGGTCCAGGATCAGCGAGATCGGGTAGCTCAGCGGCGACGTGACGATCATGAACAGCTTGGTCAGGTAGATGGTCTTGGCGCCTACGGCCAGGCCGTGGCGCGAGCACAGCGCCTGCGGCACGATCTCGCCGAATATGACGATGCCCAGGGTGGAGCCGATGACGGCCACGATGCCCGAGGTGAGCTCGTCCAGCAGGATGGTGAGTGAAGAGTTGACGAGCACGTTACCGAGCAGCAGGGTGCAGAGCAGGTAGTTGCCGTGGTTGCGCACCGGGATGATGGTGCGCGCCCAGCCCTTCTCGCTGTCCGTGCCCGTGGACAGCACCAGCTTCAGTTCTGTGATGTTGAGCGCCATCAGGCCCAGGTTCAGTCCGGAGAACAGGCCCGACAGGCAGAGCAGGACCACCAGCAGCACCACGTGCAGCGCCAGCGGCAGCAGCGGCGGGAACGTGCCGATCGCCAGGTACGGCTCAGAGCCCAGGTGGGTGTAGGGGCCGCCGCCGGCCGGCTGGCCGCACACGTAGAACCGCTCGGCGCCGCTGGGCAGCTGCGGCAGCACCACCGTCAGCAGCCCCGACGTGCCGGCCGCGTCCACCGACTTCAGCTGCAGCACGGACAGACAGACACCGAGCACCGGTTACAGACAGGGTACAGACCTACCGCGCGGGGTACACAGACACGACTGCAGGGAGATGTATCGCACCGGTTACAGACAGGGTACAGACCTACCGCGCGGGGTACACAGACACGACTGCAGGGAGATGTACCGCATCGCTTACCGACAGGACTGCACGAACAGTATAGACAGAGTTTACCGCACCGGTCAGTCGGGACCGCTCGGAGATACTGCAAGGTTACAGCTAGAACTTCATCGGTCCCAGACGGACCGACGGACCCACCTCGAACGCCACGGTGGTCTGGCTCTGCTCGCAGCTGGCGCCCGGCTCCAGCGCGTCGCCGGTGAACTTGAAGCGCAGCCCGTCGGCCAGGCCGGCCCCGAACAGCCGCAGCGTGGCCTCGCGGTCCTGCAGCACGCTGATGACGCCGTCCGCGCCCATGTCCGGCGGCTTGTAGGAGGCCTCCACGCGCAGACCGGCCAGCACCGGGCCAGCGGCGGCGGCGGCAGGGTCCGGGCCAGCGGCGGCGGCGGCAGGGCCCGGCCCAGTGGCGGCCAGCACCGGAGCCGGGAGACCGAAAGCCGGCTCCGGGTCAGCGGGGACCCGCACCGGGCCAGTGCCTGCCAGCACCGGCACTGGGCCATCGGCGACCGTCGCTGGGCCAGTGCCGGTCAGCACCGCCTGACGCCGCAGTCTGCAGTCAGACAGGTCAGGTCAGGGCAGGTGGGGTAAGGTCAGGTTAGGTTACCTCAGGCACAGGTCAGATAAGGTCATGTTGGGTCAGGTCAGGTCAGTTAGACCGTCAGGTCTGGTCGATTCGGGTCATACACCGAGACAAGAGCACTTACGACAAATCCGGAGCCACACAACAGCAGCGACTACAAAAAGATTCGAAATGCCCCGAATTAAGTAAATGTCCTTTTCTATCAGCGACCTACAAGATCGCTGACCACAAGTGTGAACTTAATGTTTCACAAAAAAAAAAATAGATCCACAGAATACGAGAGGGTTGTCCAGAAACATATTGATCCGTCGCCGCGGTATTTCTTTGGGAAAATTTAGCAAAATCAAGCAAGGGATCCAAAGTTCAAGGATCGTGATCTTAGAGCTTGCCCACCGGCACGATCCGAGACGCTCCGCAAATCAGTCCCATCCGACGCAGTCGCTTTCACGGATCGGCTAGTATGACTGGTACAGACGAGTGTGGTAAGTATGATAGTTCTTCCGAACGAGTATGATAGTTCTTCCGAAATAGGCGCGGAAGATCTGCAAATTGTTTGTCGCCGCCGATAATAATCAGCCACAGCTGCTGCGGCGCGCAGGGCACGGTAACACAGAGTAACAAGCAGTAATGATAAATCATATTGTGGTGTGGTTGTGGAGACTGGAGACTATCCCGCGCAGAGTGCACACACACGCTAACCTATAATCAGGGTTTCAAGTGAGTTATGCCAACTAAGGACTCAAAGTTTCGCCATGTTCCGCTAACAAGCGTACGCTGGTTGTCCCGGGCCGAGCCATGTCAGATCTCTCTCCATCGGGGCATGTAAGAGGCCCAGACCCAGTGCACGTTCAGTACTCCAGCGTGGTGATGTAATGCACAAATGTCCGCAGGCCAGTACACACCGCTGGCTCGGTGCGACCGGTAGTTAAAATTACCATGTGGCTGTGGATACAGTTCTCAAAGAACCAGCGCCACCGGTACGCCTACCGAGCCTCGCCTGGGTGACGGCGTGTCAGATGTGAACCGGTGCGCCCGACATACAACTCATCCCGTCTGAAACACCGCGACGCCTGTCCGAGACCGGGCACGGGCGAGCCAATGGACCGATGGGGGAAATCGTCCGTCCCCATAACCGCATGGTAATTTCGGTCCTAGCCAAGCGTGTCCAGCATAGGTTTGCTCGTAGCGCCAGCTCGCAGTGACCGGCGGCACTGACGAATCGATAGGGGTCGTACACCGACACTGGACAGGCGGGCCGTGAGAGCTGCGGTCAGGAGACGGCGCGGCGGCCGCCGCCAACAGCCTGGCGGTCACCGGGACACCAGACAACAAACGCAAACCAGCGGGACGCCATACAACAAACGCAAACCAGCGGGACGCCAGACAACAAACGCAAACCAGCGGGACACCAGACAACAAACACAAACCAGTGGGACGCCAGACAACACACGCCGGGACGCCAGGCAACTTATATCGGCCCACCGGGACACCAGACAGCAAACACAAACCAGCGGGACACCAGACAACAAACACAAACCAGTGGGATACCAGACAACAAACACAAACCAGTGGGATACCAGACAACACACGCCGGGACCCCAGGCAACTTACATCGGCCCACCGGGACACCAGTAGTGGTGTCAATTTCAGAAAACGTATGTTTAATGTCCGTCCAATGTCCAATACTTACGTCGACTCTCCGTCCAAAAATGTCCAAGCCAGCCATTTGTCCAAAGATGTCCGACATCTACGCAATAGTTTACACTCAACACCGTTATTTAATTCGCTTTTAATGTATCGTTACCAGCTCAAAAGTGTTAATCATATGGAAAACTGAGCTTTCTAATGGCCAATCAATGTTAAACACGATTAATTTATGAAAAAAATTGAGGTGTAGCAAGCGATTGTCCAAAGTTGTCCAAAGCCTGCTGTCATTGTCCAACCAAATTCCGAATTGGACATTGGACAAAATCGGAATTCCGAAGATTCAAGTTCCGATTGACACCACTAGACACCAGACAACAAACACAAACCAGTGGGACACAAGACAACACATTCCGGCCCAGTGGGACACAAGACAACACACAAAGGGGCACCAGACAACATACATACATCCGCCCACCGGGACACCAGACAACAAACACAAACCAGTGGGACACCAGGGAACACACACCGGCCCAGAGAGACAACAGACAACAAACACCGGCCTAGAGAGACAACAGACAACAAACACCGGCCCAGCGGGACACCAGGGAACACACACCGGCCTAGTGGAACATTTTTGTCGATAAAAATTACAAACATGGTGTCAGTCTATTTATGCAATATGCAGCCTGGCACTTTGAATAAGCGCCATGGTGACCTAAGGCAAGACTAAGGTCAACTGTTTGAATTTAAGGTTAATCATCAAAGCCCTACCATTACTCATGGTTGGTGTAAAAAAAAAAAAATAGGGCGGGATGCATAAATCACTTCGATCTCAGATACATAACTGCGAACATTAAAATAACCTAGATCCATTGAAGTCCTTTCAGGAATGCTGCCAAACAAAAGAGGCAATAGAACCAGGACTGGATCGCGCCATGACCTATAAATCGGAGGAACAGCAGCAGATTGACCGACATGAACCAGTCGAGTCTCCGGCTGGCCCCTCCGAAACGGGCCAGAAAGGGACACAATCCACGCATCTGGGTCAGGTAAACAGTACATACAGCAGGCGAACGGGACACAGAACAGGGGGCGGGGGGGGGGGGGGGGGGGGGCGTCGGCCGACTGACGGCAGGCTCCGGCGACGTCCGCTCGGCCCTGTCCACTGCCCTGTGCGTATAGGGCAGTGGACGGCCCTGTGCGTATAGAGAACGGTGGACGGCCCTGTGCGTATAGAGAACGGTGGACGGCTGAAGACGGTAGGCGGTCGTGGACAAGGGGATATGATATAAGGCAAAACATAATATGCACTTAGTGCTATTATTTCAAAGTGATTAGCGGCATCGCCTGGTCCCGCAGTTGGAATCCTCGTTCCGGTTCGTATAAGCAGAGGCGACGTGCGGGGAACGGTGTCAAAAAGGTTCTGCTCTTCGAAAGGAGCTCCATCTTGCATCAAAAATGACAAAAAGTAACTACCACTTTTAGTTCAGGTTTTAGTTTCAGCCAGCGCACTAGACAGAGCAAATGACACATGGAAATGTCGAATTGACAATTTCGCATTACTTACTGATACGTAGGCCAGCGCTCTGACCTGACCACAGGTGGCCAATACGCATCGCCATTTCCCGATCTCCGGTCTGATTCGCTCCATTCGGGGCGATCTGACAGCAGCGCCGAGCGGCGCGGCCACAGGCGGCGACAGGGGGCACGTGGTGGTTGAGTAACGCGTACCGAGCCGAGGACAGGCGACACGGGGCGGAGAGAAAGGCCTTGGCGGGCGCCGCGTCCCCCGGTACAGACGTCCGGCCGGCCGGCGCCTGTCCTATATACCTGCATGGACCGGGCCGGGCCGGGCCGGACCGTCTCACAGGGAGCACACGCCGGATACGGCCGACCGCAGCCACCGCCCGCACCCGGCGCGTGACACGCCGGGACCAGGCGCGGAAACAGCGCGCGACAGGCGACAGGACAGGGCGCCCGGACAGGACGGGACGCAGGTGCGAGGCCGTCCCAGACCGGGTCAGGAGCCAGCGCGGGACATTGGACAGACGACGCAGACGGCGCTGGGCGGGTCACACACGCGGCGCTGGGCGGGTCACACACGCGGCTGGTGTTCTGCCGGCCGCCGCGCTGGTCTACACGCGCGTCGGGCGGCACCGTTATAAACAATGGCTCCCGACATCCTGCCTTCAGGAGAGGAAGAAGAATAAAAATTGGATCGACACGAGTACGACAAAAGTCATAATGCTAAAATTGGTAGACTGCAAACAGATTTGTCGAGGTCATTTACCAATCACACAAGGACCAACCATTCGCATAATTGGCTTCTCTCGTTTACTGGTTCACCTGAAGCCTTAGAATTCCATATCAATCGCTGTGTCGCGTCACACGTGACAACACGTACACATAGCTGTACTCGTTTTTCGGCCAAACTATAGCTCCGAGAGACATCGAACGTGGGGTACATCACAGAACTTCGAGATCGGTGACCTAAGGTAGGCCCCGCGTTCGGAGTCTCTTGGACGACGAAGTCGAAGATTCTAAGTCGTCCGGCCAATTCCGTTCCATAACCGCAGCCGCAGCCAGCTGACCTTAACGGGATTGGCCGGACGACGTAGAATCTTCCTCGTTCGAGAGACTCCGAACGAGGGGTAAGTCAGCTTTGCGGCCTCTCCATCATTGGTATAAAATTGAAAGGCGCCTCTTTTGGACGCACGTCATTCTAAACACTCTCAAACACCGACTTCCAAGTAAACATAACACACTGAACCGGAAAATGCACCCGTGACCCCTCCTGATGTCCCTTAGGTCATCTCAGGTTACGAAAGGTATGCAACAGTTTTTTTCGCAAATAACTTTTGATAGAGGCATGTTAGAGCGATGTAAATACCTTAGATATGTTCAGCTTGACCGGACGATACGGATCGACTGATATCCAACACGACCTTTTCCAGTCAGGTTATGACCTTGATCTGCGGTCAAATTTTCAAGTTGAACTTTCAAGGGCAAAGTATAGTTCATTCGACGCGTCTTGACGAGAGGAACACGATGCCGGTAAAAGTGAGCTCGTGCAAGCTTTGAGTCCAAAGTTATTGCAGAAAAAGCGTTTCAGCAAAAATAATATGTTTCAACTTTGGCAGTTTTTGCACTCTGCAGGCGAAACCGTTGACCTTTGTGGTCAAATCTAAAGCCAGTGCACAGAAAGAGCGTTAACAGGGTTATCAAATGCGCTTTCCAGGGGCTTTGTAGCTGCATCCGTTTTCGAGTTATGCTCCAGTTTGTTTAAAATTGTCGAAATTTGACCTGGGTATTGACAAAATTTA